AAAAAAAAAAAAAAAAAAAAAAAGAACAAATGTATCCAACCAAAACTTATATAAAGCCATACAAACTTAAAACCTTTTGGAATAAGCATTTGATGTACAGCTAGATCAATAAAAATACTAAAAAAATTTAAAATATTCAGAAACAGGCTGCATGAGAAAGGTGGCATTAAAAATCAGCAGAGAACTGGGCATGGTGGCACATGCATATAATCTCTGCATTTTAGAAGGTTGAGGCAGCGGGACTGCAAGTTAGAAGCCAGCCTGGGAGTTTCAGAGAGACTTGGCCTCAAAATTAAAAACTGAAGCTGTAGTTAGTTCATTGGTAGAATATCTGACCAGCATGCATGAAACCCTGGGTTCAATCCACAATGCCATCAAAAAAAAATATATTAGTAGGGAGATTATGGACAATTTGATAAATATACAGGGAAAAATTAACTCCCTGTATGAAAAACACATGCAAATACATATACATATACAATAGTCTAGGGGGCTGGGGATTTAGCTTAGCGGCACAGCACCTGCCTGGCAAGCGCAAGGTCGTGAGTTCGATTCCCGGTACCGGAAAAAAACCCAAAACAAACAAACAAACAAAAAAATAGATGGATAATAGATGATAGATATACAAATTAAGGGTATGAAAAGGATATACTTGAGATATTTAGAAGAAAATTTGATGTAACAATAGGGAAAGAAGCCAGACACGGGGAAACATGCTGGTAAACTTGTGCTCCAGGAGACTGAGGTAGGAAGATTGTGAATTTAAGCCCAGCCTGAGTAATTTAGGGAGTAGCAGGACCCTGTCTCGAATAAAAAGGGGGATACACAGGTAGCTGAGTGCAAAGGCCCTGCGTTCAACCCCCAATACTACCCCCACCAAAACAAAAACACAGAAAGAGTTCTAACATAAAATATAAAAGTTGAAACTATAAAGGAGTGATAAATTTCACCGCAGTAAACATCTTAGTTTAAATTGTATCATAAAAGGCATTATTGATGAAGTTTTCAAAAAGTCTCTTCTTGCAGAATATGTGTGAATACATTAAATGCTATCTTATAAATACTGTACATCCATCATAAGCATGCAAAGCAACTGAGAAAAGTGTGCAAAATGCTGTGAACAGGCAATTCACAAAAGAGAAAAATGAGGTAAGCGAAAAGGAGTTTATTCAACTGCACTGTAATCAGGGAAAAACAAATTAAAATAATGACATAGGATTTGCATCCACATTTACTACTAAAAAAATTAAGAAGCCTAAAATTTGACATGTGGGTAAAGATACGAAAACAAGATGAGGGACTGGCATTTGCACAGATAGTGTGTAAATTGTGCAGCATGAGGCCTTCTATAAGAAATATATATCTCTATAAGAAATGTATATGTTGTTGTGACAATTAAATGAGTTACTGTAAGTCCACCATCCAGACACCAAAATATTTAGGGAATTATATAATTTTAAATTCAGAATTGGGGGATTTTAGGAAGTTAATACAGTGCTTAAAACACGTTATATAATGCCCCATCAAATTTAGAGAAATATCAAAAATCAAACATTAGCCTTTCCTTAAAAAAGCATGTGTATTTATACAAACCGTGAACAAGAATTATAGATATCCTTGCTTCCGTTCATATTTTCCTTCAAATATGTTAAAAAAAATTAGGTGAGGGCTCAGAGCTTTTTGGATTTTGCAGCTGCAGTTAAAAAGTTATGGAAAGCTAGAGAAGAAAGAAGACATAAAAATAGAGGGATGCAGAAACATTTTTCAGTTACTTGGTATATGAGTAATATTGACTAATATTATTGGTATAGATACACATTATTTTTAAGATGGTGGTCCTGACCCATCAAAGTGATTTCATAACTTGCACGTGGATTGTGAACCACACTGTGAAAAACGCACATATACAAAGGATTAGCCAGATCCCTGGAACATACTAAACTCTTAGCACAAGTTAGACAGTAAACAAATCATTTTATGCTTGCATGGGAATTAAATTAGCTATTAGCTTCACATTTCATCAGAAGTAAATGAAATGTGTTTGTGTTGGACAGCAGGAAATTGAAGACATTATAATTATACCTTCCTTTGGGCCTTTATATCCTGATATATAAAACAGCTTTTAGATTTTCTTTATTTTGTGTGAAATAGACAACTTCATCACACCAATAAAGAGACTGAGGGAGATCGAGCCCTTTGTCTTCCGTTACAAAGTACATGACTTCTCTGTCTAACAGAAAACATGGTTTAGGGACAATTTGCAAGGTATATCTATTATTTAATTCTTAACATGAGCCAAACACGCTCCAGTCACTTCACAATCTTTGTGTTTTATTTTCTAGTTCTCTGGGAGACATTGAAATAGCTGAAGTGAATGTCAAGGGTTTATTTGTGAAGCTCATCAACTCTTCCCTTGACAAAGAGGTGGAGATTGGAAATCATATTCTCCAACAAAACGTGAAAGGACAAGCAGTTTCTCTGTACCGATTCCCTTCAAATGTCATAGTGCAGGCCGGGTCCACAGTAACGGTGAGCATGGGGCATAAACGCTTGCGCGAAAACTGTCAACTGTCGAGGACAAACTCCACTGCACTGTCGCCCTGTGCATGGGGCGCAGGGACCTCTTTGTCACTCATCTGTCCATAACATGATCTCATTGGTGGTGGCAGCGGTGGTGAATTTTGACTCTTAGCATAGCTTCTGGATATAAATTACACCCATAATTAAATTCCCACAGCATTTTTCCATGTAGTGTACAATAGCTTTTGGCTTTATCATTAAACTATTTAAGTAGTTCCTAAAATTAAGCAAGCATGTCCTTAGAAGACAAGCCAAGACATTATTCACACAGAGAATGGGGAATTAGTTGACACTAAAGGGTCCCACCTGTTTCTTTTACTGTCCCTTAAATCGGACCTTTGCAGTAGCTGTTTGGTGTTATATAACTTGGCAGTACCGGTTATAGTCTTCATATTTTAAAGCCTCATCTGAAGTTGAGCATGGCGGCACACACCTGTAACCCCAGCTACTCAGGAGGCTGAGGCAGGAGGACCTCTTGTGCTCAGGCATTTGGAGTGCAGCTGGGCAACAGGACTCTTTAAACCTTATGTGTTCAGAAAGACAGAGTTATGACCAATGTCGTAACCATATGACATTTATAGAGCTGTGCTGAACCCTCGTGGCATTTGTCACCAACAAATTATTTTCTTGCAGGTGTGGGCAGTAGCGTCCAAAGGAAAGCATCAGCCACCGTTTGACTTTCTCTGGAAGGAGCAAAGCACGTTTCAAACAAGTCCAGATTGTACCACAATTCTGTGCAAACCCAACGGTGAAGTTAGTGTCTGGTTTATCACAACAGCTTTAACGGAATAACAGGCCCCCCCTCGTGTTCCTCTTTTCACTCAGCTCTCTCAGCTATTTTTCCATCCTGGAAAGCTTGGGTGGAATCATCACTAAAGGCCAGAACACATCAGGCAGACCGGCGCCATGCTCCGCCCAATGCCAATGCCCCCAGGAGCTGGTTGCAATAGGGCAAAAGTAATTCTGATAACCCTACATGTCCAGGAAGCTACTTCACAGTCAAGGATAGAGTTTATTTACGATACTAACCTAAAAAGAAGGACGAGGAAGGTACTACATGCAATGCTTTCTATTTATTTATCCGTTCCTCAGGTATTTATAGAGATTCTTTATTCTTAGGTCTATCGTAAGTACTGGGAATATAAAATAAAGATGTGGTCTCTGCTCCCAGGGGACAAATATTCTAGTAAAAGAGCTTATGGTCTTGATTTTAAGTGGCTGTGCCTTACTCACCATAACATCGGCTGTGTGTAGGCCTGGGTGAGCTGGTGCTCGCTTGTGGGCTCAGCTACTAAGAGGGAGGAGGGTCACGAGTTCAAAGCCAGCCTGGGCAACCTAGTGAAACTCAGCCTGTAGATCAGCACTAGAGCACTCGCCTAGCATGCACAGGACTCTGGTTCCATCCCCAATACCACAAAAAAGAAAGAAAGAAGAGTATTAGAAATAGCTTTGTATAACTCATTCCCAGTATTTGACAATTTTATATGTTCATTCAGCTTATTTTGGGATAATATTAGCATAAATATATACCCAAGGCTATCCCGGCAAGGTTTGAAAGTGTCCTCTTCTTATAACAACAGAAAGTTATTTCTTCTTCAAAATTCTTTGTTTTTCTTAAATATTTCCTTTTTCTTATCCCCAGGATAATGTACTGCCTCATGTAACTGCTCACCCATTGACTTTGTTGATCAACATCAAATCTTCACATTTCTTTCATGCTATCTTATGCTTAGTGCCTAGACTGACTTTCCCTTTAGAATAGACTTAACTAATTTATTAAAAACTATGTAATATCCCCTGGGAACTGTTGTCACCAGACGGAGCGAGCATTTATTAGCTGTCATTTAGCAACCTTTCCTTGCTTAGCTTTAGATCTCTTTGAGGGCTCAGGCTGAATGTTCTGATCATTCTCATAACTTTCACTGGTTGGGAAAATAAGGTTATATAATCTAAGTTATAGACTCAGTCTCATGAGTAACCACTAGCAAAACCCAGATTAGGACAAATGCACTCTGAGCTTTCACCACGTTTATCCACTTGTGAGCGGGACTGTGGTTTCTACTTTGTCTGGGCCCACTTTCAAGTAATTAGTATTGAGCCGGACAGACCAGGTCCCTGAGCTGCTGGAATGAACATCATGATAAATTGTCACTCCCTGCAGCCCAGTGAGACTTTGTACTCAGACTGTCTCTCTTACCCAGTGGTTTGAAGTGCTTCGCACATATAGGATCAAACAGTTTCTGCAGGATGATGTAAGCACAAGTGCTTGTACTTGCTAATGAAAGACTGAGTCCAGTTGATTGATTCATATTGAAAACATTTACGTACATTTGTTATCTGTCAGGCGTGGTGAAATGTGCTGGGAGAAAATACAGGTTGGCGAGATAGTGTCTGCAGGAAATTGAGTCTATTAGTAGAGACTGAATGTAACCACAAAAAAATTACAATGCAGTAAAATAATACTTTAAGGAAATACGAGCATGACAGATGACAGCATGGTGCTCAGGTCACAAACACTGACTATGTGAATGAGAGAGTCAGGAAAATCACAGAGAGGGAGAAACACTTGTTCTGAGCCTGAAGGAGACAGTTTGGCCAGCTGAACTTAACCTGAAGGGGTTTTTGCCCTTCACACCTCCATAACTTACCTCCTCTGTATCCTTCATTCTCTCTGTTCTAAGTGCCCTGGTCTCCTTTTACTACCTTTACTTCCCAGTTCTTGACTGCTGCTTTAAACCACAGGGCCTTTGCACATGCTCTTTCTGCTCTGTAGATTCTCCTACTCTTCTTTCACCTATTAAATCCTACCTTTCCTGTAAGACTTTGGCTCAAGTCTTTTATTCTGAATCACATCCCACTGGACTATCCCACCCATGGTAAATCTTTAAGTATAATTTAATTTAACTAGAAAACATTTCAACTAAATAAACTGAAATGTAACTTTAAGTCAATTTGAAATCCTAGAGTAATCACAAAGTCCTTTTATAGCCAATCAATTCCCATTGTTACCTCGGTAAAGCCGGACCCTGCTATCTACAATAGTTAGATTTTCCTTGAAAAAAGAGCTGCTATGTGGGCTGGGATTATAGCTGAGCAGCATAAGTACCTGCCTAGCAAGTGCAAGGTCCAGAGTTCAACTCCCAGTACTTAAAAAAAATAAATCACACACAGAAAAAGCTGCTATGTGGTAAAACATAGGCAGATCAAAGCTTCTTCAGGACCCTGGAATTACTATCTAATTATATAATTTACACACAGAAAATAACAATACCCTCTGGGAAAAGTCAGAGAGCTAGCCATCTTCTGCCAGAAATAGCAAGGAGCTCAACAGGTCCGAATGGGTTCCCTGTCTCCTTTGTGTAACACTTGGTTTTCAAGGTGGGACCAACAGAAATTATAGTACATGTCATTTTTTTAAAAACCCTAAAAAAAGTATAACTTAGCCTACCTTTTGAGTCATCTTATCCCTAATGTGGCCATGGTTAATATTCATCTGGGTTTTAGTTTTGCCTTACTGCAAGTTAACTACGTAATTGCTATTTGCTCATCTGTAAAGTAAACGACTGCACAACGAGGATTCTATGAGTCCATGGATTTTTAGAACAGGGCTAGAGTGTTTTGCCCACCAGTCACGCTGGTATCCCATAGGATTTGTAGCACTGTAAATTAAAAAAAAAAAAACAACCAAAAAAAAAAAAAACAGCAGATGCCTTCATATTTGTTTAGTGTCTGATTTTCTAGTTCCTAGTTTTGCATTCTAGATCCAGATGTGGAACAGACCCTTGCTATGTAGCAGGAGCTCATTGAAGGCCTGTTTATATGTGTATTTTCTTACTTGATTCTCAGTAATGTTCGGTATTTTACAAAGGAGGAAACTGGGATTTTTTTTTTTTTTGAGAGAGAGGGTCTGGCTATGCAGTTCAGGCTGGCCTTGAGCTCACAATGATCCTCCTGCCTCAGCCTCTCGAGTGCTGGGATTAGAGGTGTGCACTACCACTCCCGGCAAAAAACTGGGAGTTGCAAGTTAAATAGCTTGCTCCAAAGCACATGATTATAACATAACAAAACCATATATTTCAACCCCAAGAATTTTTCTATTGTACTATAAGTAGTCTACAAGGTTCTTCTAACCAACATTCCAGAGACAAGGTCAAATTTTATCATGTCCTCATCATCATCACCCATTATGTTAAGTCTTTACAGTGCAGAGGGGAATAAATATTGTCCTTGCCTGGGAAAGGCCTACAGTAGAACTAAGAAAGATCATGAATTTACAGATCACACTGACAAGGTCATGAATTTATCTTCAACATCAATGTGTGTGTTCAAACTACTGACAGAAAAGGATCCCTAACTGACAACGTGCAGGAAAAGTGGGATTTTCTTGCTGTTATTTTGAAAATGAACTTATAAAAAATGTTTTCATTTTCTTTTTTTTCCTGCTATAGGCCTATCTTAACTCAACTTGCCTTGTGTTATCTTTATGTCTATTTAATTTGTCAAGCCAACCTTAGAATGGTAATAACATAAAACCCAAGCCTCTCATTTTATAACGCAACCATATCATGAGAACAAGCGTTAGCCAAGTAGGCATAGTGGTGCACACCTGTAATCTCAATACTCGGGAGGCTGAGACAGGAGGATCTCCATGAGTTCAAGGCCAACCTGGGCCACATAAGGGTGTTCAAGATCAGCCTGAACTCCACAGCAAGACTCTGTCTCGAGTAATAATAATAATAATTAATAATAATAACTATTAATCTCTATGCAGGAATTTCCTGGATAATTTTTGTACATATGCAGTGTAATATGTGCACACACTTATATATATGCCACATATTCAGGGAATCAAATCAGACTCCACCTTTAGCACTCATGAGCCTCCTTAACTCTCACTTAGGATTCCAGCCTGGAAAATATGTTTTGTTTCTTTATGTCTCTAGCTTTATTCCCTGTTTTCCCATCTCAAAGCATGGGGATATCTAGTGTCATAAATATTTGAAATTGTAACCTAATATTTCAACTACTTTTCGCACAGTTCTTTAACTTCACTGAATTTCACAATACTCTTATAAGGGAATTCCCCATGACCACCCTCCTCACTCTGTATATAAGGACAAATAGTCCAAGATAGCAAATGTCTAACCTGATGGAGGTTATACAGCTTGTAGTTTTGAAAACTGGACACTAAAGTGAAAAGTTTTACTACATCCTCACCACGTAGTTCAGTATTTAAATGGCAATATAAAGCTTGATTTTAAAATTTGTTAAGCATTATTTTACACCATACACAAAACAACATCTCAAAATGGATAAAAGACTTAAATATAAGATCAGAGATGCTAAAATTTCTAGAAGAGAGCAGAGAGAGAAAATTCCTGCACATTGTCCCTGGCAGTGATGTTTTGGACATGACGCCAGAAGCTCAGGCTTCAAAGCGAAAATAAATAAACAGAACTATATCAAACTAAAAAAAAAAAAACTTCTGAAAGGAAATGGAATAATTAACAAAAGAAAATGACAATTTATGTTCTAGAAAAAATATTTGTCAGCCACATATCTAATAAGAGGTTAATACCCAAAATTCATAAATAACCTTTAAAACTCAACAGCAGAGAGGCAAGCAACCCAGCTAAAACTTGGGTAAATTACTTGGACATATATTTCTCCAAAGAAGACAGGAACATGGCCAACAGATTTATGAAAATGTGCTCAATTTCACTAACCTCTTCGGGATAATGCAAATTAAAACTACTATAAGATACTACCTCACACCTGTAAAGATAGCTATTGCCGAAAAGATAATAGACAAATATTGGCAAGGATTATGGAGAAAGGGTACCCTGTTGCACGGTTGGTGGGACTGCAGATTAGTGTAGCCACTGTGGGAAGCAGTACAGAGGCACCCAGAGAAATTAAAATCAGCACTACCACCTGACCCAGCAATCCCTCTTCTGGGCATGGACCCGAGAAGGATGACGTCATCACTCGGTAATGGTATCTGTTCTCCCGTATTCCTTGCAGCATTATTCGTGATAGACAAGGTATGCAAACAATCAAAGTGTACATCAACAGATGGATAAAGACACATAGGTACAGGGAAATCTTGCCATTTGCCACCATGTGGATGGGTCTGGAAGACATTGTGCTAAGTGAAAAACGTCAGGCACAGAAAGAGAAATACTGCATGATTTTATTTGTGCACTGAATTTTCTTGAAAAGGGAAACTATATGGAGGTAGACAATAGAAATTGAGTTAACTAGGGGCAAAAATGGGGAAAGGAAGTAAGTCAAAGGATACAGATACATCGGATGAAGAATTGCAGAGAGCTAATGCACATCATGTTAATAGTAATACTGGCTAATCAGCATCAGTTAATTTTCACATTAACATCAACATTAGTTAACATTAACCACAGTTCATCGAATTGTATTGTTCAGGGTAATTTTATTGGTGCTAAATAAGTAAACTTTAGTTTTTCTTGTCATAGCAAAAGCAACTCTGTGAGATGAATGTTAGATATAGTAATTTATTTCACTATGGTCACCATCTTATTCTTGTTATGTATCTCATAACATGTTGTAATGTAAATACCCAAAATTAACTTTATTTTAAAAATATAAATTAATTTCCATTAGGCTGTTGCCTGGTACACTCCAATTCACTGGAGGCAACTGTGGGAGAAATTAGACACTGACATCGAATTTAACAGAAGCTCAGTAGCAGCACCTACCTCCCCAAAGCACACGTTTTTGTGGACATCCACAAATACACTGAATAAAGAAAAACAAGAACAACCTAGGGAAGATACATCAAAACGTGACCCAAAACAAGTGCAGTTTCTTCAGAGGTAAAAGATGTTTTGGGTTGTTTGTTTCTTTGTTTGAGTCTTTTCCCCAATTAATAACAGAGCCATGTGGGAATGACTGGGTGGCGGATCTGTGATAAATAAATACATCTGCTATAGTTTTTTATGGAAGAAAGGTAAAGCAAAATTTCACAACAAAATAATAGGAGAACAGCAATAGCTAATACATTACATGTTGTTATCTTTAAAGTAGTTGCTCAGGATACAAGATATGGGCATAGAAATTTCTCCAGTTGATATTACCACAAGCCTTCCTTTTTAATGAACTAAGAGACACTAGTACTATAACTGACTTGCATCTTTTCTCTTTTCTCAACTGTTCTTTCCCCTTTCACCCATCCTAGTTCTTTTTTCTTTTTGAACAATTTCTTTCCATTTCACAATATCTATTGTACATTTTAGCACTTATTTACTCTTTCAGTTTCACACCAGGGAGATAGTATATTACTTACACATGTGAGTCTGATTTATTTCACTTATGAGTATGGTCTCAAGTTGCATCCATTTACCTATAAAAGTCTCCAGTTATCCATTTACTATAAAAGTCTCCAGTTTATCCTTCTTTATGGCTGAGTAGTACTCCATTGTATAAAAAGACCACATCATTTTCAGACATTCTCAGTTGATGGGCATTTGAGGTGTTTCCAAGATTTGGCCATTACAAATTGTGCTGCTGTAAACATTAAAACAATGATCTTTTAATAGGACCCAGATGGAAAACGTAAAAACATAGATTGAACAGGCAGTTACATACTTCTGAGCAATGAAAGCTAACAGTCTTTGATAGGTAATACTTAGGGGCCAGGGATATAGCTCAGCGGCACAGCGCTTCCCTGGCAAGTGCAAGGTCGTGAGTTTGATTCCTGGTACCAAAAACAAAAAGTAATAGATAATATTGAGGGGCTGGGGATTTAGCTCAGCGGCAAAGCGCGTGCCTGGCAAGCGCAAAGTCATGAGTTCAATTCCCGGTACTGGAAGAAAAATGAAAAACAAAACAAAACAAAAAACCAAATAGATAATATTGAAGTTCTTTGGTCACTTTGCTTTTTCCTGGCACCATGCTTTGGGGCAAGGCTGCTAAGGAGAGGTTCAGACCTGAGGTTGTGCCTGGGTCTTTAAGCAGTGAGTAGACAACGAGATAGAGATGCATCCTCTGGGAATTGTATCTTGGCTCAAGAGCTGGCTGTGTAAGGGCTTGAAGAGAGGGGAAGGGAATGGGAAACAGCAATAAATTTAGTTATAAAAAAAGAGCTGGGGGGCTGGGGATTTAGCTCAGCGGCAAAGCACCTGCCTGGCAAGCGCAAGGTCATGAGTTCGGTTCCCCGTACCAGAGAAAAACCAAAACAAAACAAAAAAAAGAGCTGGCTATGGATAGAAGTGCTGAATTCATTTGTAGGCAAATACTTCTGGTGTTACAATCAACGTTCCGTTCACAAGATCTAGGAAAGCCACGCTCTCCGTTTTAAAGCATGCTTTCACTGTAATCACACCTTCAATACTAATGCGCCACAGGAAATGCCTTTGGGATTCAACTTGTAATTTTCTTTTACAGAGAAAAGGAAATGCCACCAGCCCTCTTCCCCAACCGCAGTCCTTGGTGCCACACTCCCTATGTCCCTGCTCATCCTTACTCTTCTCTGATTGAACCATATGACGGATGCGCTGCTACTGGAAGCAGCTCAGATCGACATCCCAGGTCCCAGTCAGCCAGGGCTCACCCAGCCTCAGGTAAGTTGAAAGGGTACTGACTCCAGTACAGGGTAAGTGTGTGTGCGTGCTTGGTGAATAATAGAAAGTATTCATTCTATTTCTCAAGCAAAGTTCTCAAAGCAAGTATTGTAAAGCATTCGCTTATGTTTACTCTAGCTCAGGGTCTCCCACAGCTCTCGATGAATAACTGTTGAAAGAGTCAATGAATCAAACAAACAGCGTGGCCCTCAAGAGTACCTAGGATTCCTGAAGCTCTGTGAAAAATGTATTTTGTTTTTTCATCAGGCAAGAAAAGCTGGTCCTGCAAGTTATGCTGTGCTAAAAATATCCATCTTTTCCAAACACACTCCCCGACTGGTCCCAAATTCTTACTGTCAGCCAGAAGTGTCTTAAATTCTATAAATCAAACTTTTAGAGTTGGTGGTATTTTTTTATTTTAAAAATAAAAGAAGGAAAACATTAACAGACAACCATTTACAAAATAGCAAAAGAACAATACAAACAGTACAGAGTTACAAACAAAGTGGTAGAAAATTAACAATGCTTGTTGTATTACATATCGATATCTTCAAAGTGGTTTCTCAGGAAAACAAATAGAGACATGCAATACTGATCAATCAAAGAATCATTAATTGTTTCTTTCAGCAAAGAAATAGAAGACAGTAGTTCAACTATGTTAACTATCCTGTATACATACATGCAAAATTTCTCTTTCTTTTCCTTCTCTTTTCCCATATCCCAGTTGCCCTTTATCCTTGAGCATTTTCCTTTCATTTCACAATGTCTATCATACCTCTGAGTTTTTATTCATTCTTTCAGGTTTTACACTAGTGAGACAATGTGGTCCTTGCACATGCAGGTCTGATTTATTTCACTTATGAGTATGATCTCTAGTTGTCACCATTTACCTATAAAAGCCTCGAGTTTACCTTTCTTTATAGCTGAGTAATATTCCAGTATATAAAAGAACAGAGCTGGTGGTATTAACCCAGGACCTGTGAATGGATTTGTAGAACTCCATGAACCTGTTAAATTTGGTATAAAATTATGTGTCTGTATGATTTTTTTTCTGGGAACAGAATTGTAAGAGCTTTTCTTTGATTTCTATGGCAAAAGATAACCACTAAGTGACATGTTGTGAATGGTTACTTGAAGACTGATTAAGCAGAGCAATCCTCAAGTCACCAGCTCATTTCTTTAAAAGAATAGGTACTAAGATTCTTCAAGGCAAAAATATATAGTTTTTTAATATCCAGTATTTTTAAAAATTGTACTATTTGGTATTAGCAGCATACACTCACTAACTGGCAAAGAAAAAACAGATAAAACTAAATTTATCAATTTACTTGTAGGTTCTTCAATCTACTCCTTTCACCCAATAATAATAATAAATTGGCTGCTTTTTCAGTTATAGAATGAAGAATCACAGGTAGAAAGAATAGTTGCCTTGTTTTTAATTATTGTTCTTAAATATGTTGGAGGACAGCAAAGAAAATAAATTTCAGGAAACATCTACCATATTTATACACCAATATAATATATTTGTTAAAATATATTAATTACAGAAAATATAGAGCACAATATAAAAAGCATCCATATACTAACATTCAGAGTTAATACATGTTAACAATTTGTCACATGTCAAAATTTATAAATATGAAGTTTCTTCTGATCATCTTTCTGGTTTCAACTTGATATTAGAATGAGTCATCCCGATCCTCATTTTTACATTTTAATCACATATGCAAGAATCCATAAAATATGTGTAATATAACTGATGTGTTTTAATTTTCTTAAGAGGCTTCAGGCTAAGTGTGCCTTCTCTTTTTTTATCTAATGGTATAATTTGGGTAATTTAAGTACAGCTATGTATGTAGTCCTAACTGAGCCACTTTCGCTACTACTTACTATTCCATTATATAATCTTAGTATGTTTTCTCTGTTTCCCTATTAACGTTTTGCTCTCTAGCAATGTAGGTGAAAATTTTGTATTACTGCCATAATTATCCCAAAAGATGTCCACTTGTATACATGCACAAAAGTTTCTTTGATATTTTCACTCAAATTTAAAATGTGCTGTAATTCTTATGTGTATTTGCTCAATTACGCAGCGTGTGTATTTTCAGCAAGATTGTGCCAAACTGCTCTAGAAAGAGTTTTGCTGATTTATGTTCCTACCAACATTACAAAGTGTTTCCCATCACCATTAATCTCACCTGGTTTTATAGTGTCATAATTTTAAATTATTTGTTAACTGAGTGAATGTTCATAGTTCAGTGCTGTTTTAATGTGAAATTCCTCTTGAACAGATAATACATCTTTGTATATAAAAAAACAGAAAAGTTTCCACTATATTTTGTTAGTAAATCTGTAATCTATAATTTATAAATTTGTGTGTATGTTAAAGTTCTCTAAATTCCCTATTTTGTCAATAAATTGTTAAAGTAGCAATTAATATTAGACTTTAATAAATCAAGCATAAATTTTATAACCTAGGTAGATGCGAAAGAATAACAAGCCATATTCCTGACATGATATGTCATACTTTCATAATCAGTTCTAAATATGTCATTTTTTCTGATACATGGGTTATTTGCTACTATCACAGCACAAACAAAATGGATTTATTCCAAAACTGCAAAGTTGGTTTGAGCTTTAAAAATTAACCAAGTATCAACTTAACAAAAAAGAGAAAAATTATACAATGATATCAATAAATATAGAGGAAAAAAGTGTGTTATAAAATTCAATACCCACCCATGATGGAGAAAACCTTCAAAAATAGGACAAAGAATTTTCTTAACCTGACAAATGGTATCAGCAAAATTCCTAAACTAAACTATCATACACATTATTGAAAGGTAGTAGAAGTCTTTCCCTTCAAGTCCAGAACAAGACGAGAATTCTCCTTATGATGACTTCTACTAAACATCGTTCTAGAAATCTGAGTGCAAAAAGGTCAAAACAGATGGTTATACTTATATCTCATTATCCCACAACTCAGTAATTTCATTTCTGTGAACTATACATGCCTGACAATATAGGCATATATACATCAAAAGACATACTAATGGTCATAGCAACTGTGTTGTAATAGCCAAAAGCTAGAAGCAATCCAACCCAGTTGTTCAACAATATAATGGGCAAATTGTTCCATATTCATACAATACTTAAGCAATAAAAAAAATGAACAAACTACTGCTACCCTCAGTGATATCAGTGACATCTGCCTCTGCTTCACGTAGCAGAACCACGGGTCAATATTCTGGACTTAATGTGAACATCAACTGTGTATGTAACATCTGGTTCAGGCCCCGGGGGTAGGAGCTCTCTTGAGCTATCTTTGCAGCATTACGGTAGGCCTGGAGCTGCCATCTTTCAGCTCCAAGTGGCACTATATCCTGAGGACGGAAGAGCCACCTTCAGGGCCTCGTCCTGGCCCACCTCCAGGCTGTTAAATAAGAGAGAAGTAATCTTGATTAAGCCATTGTTAGGTCGGAGCATTGTATCTGAGCCAGATGGCACACACAGCACTGCTGCCACTGAAGATTTAGTTTCGTTTAATAGGCTCCTATTTAAAATGAAAACAAAAATCACGGCTAGAACAGGCATTTTCCAGATAATTAGATAAATTTGAATACAGAATGTGTATTAGGCATTGCGTTGTTGTTCTTTTCTGGGATGTGTTGTCAGGGGTTCTATTGATTATTCTTGGGAGACTCTTACTGAAATCTTAAAATACTTACTAGTGATGTGGCGATGTAACCACAAGCAAATAATGTAAATTTGCAACATAACGATGACTGAATCCAGATGATAAATCTACAGATTTGGTTGTATTATTCACTGATGTTTTTGTATGTTTGAATGTTTACAATAAAAACTTGAAAAAAGTAAAATAGACAAGATATTTTTGCTGGAAGGAAGTTTGCACTGGAGCTATATGAGCACAAAGGCAAGGTATCAAGAGCAGCAAGAAGACCTCATTCTGAGGAAAGATAGGCCCTCTACAAAGCAGATGCCTTGCACTGCGCTGGTGGGACAGGGTTGTTCCAGACCTGGAGACAGTGTGCTTTCGTCTTGCTGAGATTAGCTTGCAGCCTCTAGACACCTCTGTCAGTCTCCTTCAGCTTAGGTCAAATGGCAGAAACTAGTCTGAAGGTAAGACGTATCTGACGGAAGTTGGGGGTATGTTTATTGCCAAATATACTTTATTAGCTGTGGAATGCACTTTGCCTGTTGTCTAAGAGCTACACTGTACGTCCCAGTAAGATTCATTTTAACTGTGGACCCTACAGCTGGTACTATCGTCAATGCAGATATTATTATGGGAATAATGGGAATAATTTCTCATTTCTGAAGGTTGATAGCCACATTGTAAAAGACAAACAACTCCCGACGATGAATGCGATCATGTACTTCAAACATGTACTAAAATGAATAAATAGACCCAGGGCGTAGATAACCTAATGTGGAAATGAAATGTGTAAAATCTCATCAGTGTAAGCTCTATACTAAGAGATTACTTTGTGGAATCTTACTTAAGTGGGATTTGGGTCAGTTAGTCATTATAGTTCAGTAGATCTGACTAATCAATCTTGAGATCAAGGTATTTTTTTTAAAAAATCCCAATGCAGATATTATATAACATTTTTTATGTATTTAGATTAGTATCTGTTTTGTTTATTGCTCTCTGCCTGTATTACATGACTTACATTTTTAAGATTAGGAATTTGGAATGGCTAATATCATATTTCCATGACTGGACAAAGCATTAGTTAATGTTATTTTTACATATGGCAATATTAGTCCATAATATAACTAGAAGTTGTAGAATTAATATATAGAAATTTTTAAACAAAACTGTCCTAGCTTGCGGAATAGAAAAGGCTTAGTCGGCTTGCTATCAGACTGAATAGAAAATAACTTTAAGGAAGACTGAAAAATACTAAAGAGTTCTGTCCATGTTCTGTTATCAAATATTGAAAACTTTTATGTAAAGGATAATTATGTTACAGCATGTATTTGAGGATAGTCATTTTTCTCTGCTCTTGCTTTCTGAAAATTTAGATTATACTACAGTTATATTTCTATAGGACATTTTTCAAAAAGAACAGACAAGTGAGAAGCCATTTCTATCTCTTCTTATATACAGCTGAAATGTTTCTTTAAAGCCCAAATAAAGAATTCCAAGCTAGTACTCCTATAACAAAATAATTAGGTGACATCATGGCCAGATCTTTTATTTCAAAACATTCCAACATTACAAAGCAAGTGTTTTAAAGTGCCCTTTAGTTATAAAAGATTATAACCTCATTTATAGAAATATGTCATTAATGATGCCTTTCCACACACAATTTAAAACACTATTTCAAGGAGTCAGAGCGTTCCAATTAAATTAACTAGGTGCTAAATAGTTCAGGCTTAAATTATTCAGGAAATTGTCATGACCCACAATAATTCAAACAGATATACACCACTACTACTGGTTGTTTTGAAATTAAATTTCAACCACTTATAGATGGGAGTTTCCTTTAAAGGTTTCAGTTTGTTTTTTGTTTTTTATCTGTATAGAACTTTATTTCTTCAGGAACAAGCTTTCACAGTGCAATTCAAATCCTTCATCCTCAGGCTAGTCAGTCTTAGAGGACATATATAAAATATTTATAAGTTGTATTTCGTGCCAAGAAATTACTCTGGAAGATGAGAAGTTATGAGCTACCGTCTTCCTGTGCCTAAGCTACTGCCTGCATTGAGGAAAATATCCCAGAGCCCTATTTATATTCCAGGTCCATAAGTTACTATTCAGAATGCTTGTACTGTGAGGTGCCACATGGAATTCTGATTCATTAGGTTCAGAAGTGGTTAAGAAAGTCACTTTGGCAACCAGAAACACCCTGCGTTATTGTTCAACTTTCTTGTGGATCATATTTTCATATCTGCCTTGAGATAGTGTTTCTTTGTAATCAGATACTGGCAATTTAACTTGACAATTCTGAATTTGCAGAGAAAAAGAATACAGGTATGACTGGAGAAGTTCTTCTATTTTCAGTTTGATGCACTAGTTTCATATGTGAAAATTATATTTATATAACATGACCTTTAATCCCTGCTTAAGTACATTTGGTTCTTTATATCAGTAGGTCTGGCAACTGCAGATGTGACCAACTTTGGATTGAAAATACTAAAGGAAAAAAGTGTATCTATACCAAACATGTGCGGACATCTTTTTCTGGTATTTTCCTTAAATAATACAGTAGAGCAATTCTCAACACAGCATTTACATTTCTCAGGTGCTTATCATTAATCTAAAGATGATTTAATATACAAGAGGATGCCTGTAAGTTATATGCAAATATTACACCAGTTTACAAAACATTCATGTGTGTGGCAGACTGGAACCAGTCCCCTAGGGACACTGAGGGACCCCTGCAGCAGGGAGTGAGGAAGGCCACCACATTTGCCACCTCACCTCTCAGGGTGGAGGTGACTGGACAGCTTGATTCCTATGCCTCCCTCCTCTATCTACCATGTGAGTATGTCAGTGTAAGTATAAGCAGCATTTTAGGAATTGTATACGTCGGTCAAAATTTTTTCCAAACCTCTTTTAAAACATTTTATCTTTAGAGTAGATAATTTTTTCTCAAGGCTTTCATTCACTGTGTCTTCAAATATATTCTTACTTTTTAAATGGTTCACTGGAAACTGGAGCTTCATAATAATTAAATAATAGTTTTTAAGCTCCATTAAATATTGCCCTTAAACCATAAGTTCCGTCTTCAATGAAAGAAAATTCTTACGCTGTAAGCTTACTGTAGGATTTGTTTTACTAAGGAAAATCAGTTTGTACTGAACTCCTGCCTTTCCTTCTAATCCCACTCCCCGTGGTTTTTTTTTTTTTTTTTCAGGGACCAAGAAAAATGAAAATATCTAAACTACAAGAGAAATAGGCAGTCCACTCAATCTTCAAAAGTAAGTGACAGTATTGAAAATTTCCTTTATCTGCGGAAAAATGTTCAGAAAAATAATTTTCCGAAATGTCTTTGGAAGTCAACAGAACATGGGTTATTCTTATATAGTCACTGATTTTCTGTTCAATGTTTATGTTGCTTTAGGGGTCATCAGGTTTGTGTTCCTCTTAAATGATAAGCTTCCTAAGAATGGGAAGTAAGAAATTGTTATCTCAGGACATTTTGCCTCAGATCCTCCTCCTATCCTTGTTGGATGAATAATGAATCATTGGCTTGTAATACTCACAAAAGAGACTGCAGA